CCTGGACTCACATTAGCACTTTGACCTTTATTATAATAAGCTGGATGGGTTGTACAAGATGTGCAAGCAGCACAAACTGAATGTCTGTAACATTAATTTGCAAGCAGTTCTGATCAAAACAACACTGAAGGAGGGATTGAAGTATCTTTTGTCTTGGCCCAGTAAGCGATCACTTAAAAACCACCTAGTACATCCAGCTACCAAGAAAACTCTAGAAACCACATAGAAATGCCCTAGCAAACACCCAGAACACCTTAATAACTACATAACGTTAAAAATGACTAAACACCTACCAATTGTAAAGTGATGCCCTGGCAACCACATAACATGTTAAAAAAAACATTCAGAATCCCTTACAACTGCATATCAACATCCTAGCAATCAACCAGAACACCCTAGCATGCACACACAAAATGTCCTGACAACCACCCAGAACGTCTGCAACAACACAACAACATGCTAAAAATTACTTATAACAGCCACATAGCAACGCCCTAGCAACCAACCAGAACACCTTTACAACCTAGTAGATATATGTTAAATGACTCAGAATATCTAGCAACTGCAGAGCGATGCCCTGGGAACCGGCTAGCAACACCCTTACAACCACATGGTGGCACTCTAACAACCACCTAGAAACCACATACCAATGTCCTGGAAACCACCTATAATACCAAAAAATCAGTGAGCAGTGAGTTTTAAAGAGGCAAACAATAATACAATACCCTAGCAATCACCTAGCAGTGCCCTAGCAACTACCCATAACTACTAAGCAACTACACAGCAACATGCTACCAATAACTCAGAACAACTAGCAGCTGAATAATGAAAACTTGGCAACCACCCAGAACACCTTGTAAACCACATTACAGCATGTGAAAAACAACTCAATACACCTAGCAACCATGTAGCAACACCCTGTCAATGGCCCACTACCCGCTAACAACCAACTAGCAATGAGCTACCAACTTCCAGAACACCCTAGAAACCATATAGCAACACCATAGCAACCACCCAGTACACCATAACCACATAAAAAAGTGTTAAAATAACTCAGAAAATCTTGTAACTGCATAGAGATGCCTTGGCAATCACCTAGCAACAACACAGCAACACCCTACCAACCACCTCAAACACAATAACCACATAGCAGCTGCATGTCAAAAACAACTCAATACACATAGCAACAGTGTAGAAGTGCCCTGGCAACCCCTCACAACCCCCTAGCAACCACCTAGAAATGCCCTAGCAGCTTCCAGAACACCCTAAAAACCATATAGTGACGTCCTAGCAACCACCCAGCATACTTTAAACGCATAAATGGGAAAAAAAATAACTAGTAACTCCATAGTGATGCCCTGGCAACCACCTAGCAACTACCAAGCAAGCACACAGCAACACCCTAACAACCATCCAGAACACCTAGCAACCACATAGCATGGTTTTGTAGACACAAACATCATGGCAGTGAGTTTTGTCCAGGCAAACAATACTACAATACCCAAGGAAACATTTGGAACACCATAGTAACCACATAGCAACTTGATAAAACTACCCAGGATACCTAGCAAATGGTATAGTGATGCCCCGGCAACCAACCACAACACCCTAACAACATGGCGGTAAATTTTGCATAGGCAGACAGTACTCTAATACTTGTCACAACACAATGAAATGGACTAATTTATGAATTCCTCAGTGTGTTTCAGATCACACAGAAACATAATCATGTAAAAGGGTGTAAATGGGCACTAAGGAAATGGTGCTTTTAACTACCTTCAGCAAACGCTTGTCACTCTTCAGGCACCTGGCAACCGCAGAGCTCCAGCAGAATTGATTCATCCAAAGAGAATCCAGGTGTTAATTAATGGCGGCCGGGCAGAAGGAGCCAGATAGCAAGCAACAGGATCATGACGAGGCGGCCAGCTGACATTTGCCATGTCTCTTAGCAACACCATATTACTTCTGTGATAGGTCTGCTGCGCATGTTACTCACACAGTGACAAGTGTTCATTCCATCATAAACAGCCAGGGCTTTTTTTTTTACTCAAAATGGACTCTATTTAATTTTTTAATACATGTTTCGGGTCTTATTTTGCACAATTTATTAGTGTATGTTATTCCAAAAAATAATAATAAATGTCTGTCTTCATAATCCTTTTCAAAATGTAATAACTTGGTCTGCCTCTCAAATTACTTTCCTTTTTGGCTGATTTCAGTGTGCCTATCATTAAACCCTTCCTATCCACCACCTGGCTCCCAATGAGGTCATATAGGAGTTTCCACAATAATAAAAAAAACTTTTTGAAACACAAGAGCAAAGTTCTCACAAATGTACTCTTTGCATTAATGTTGGTTTTATATATGGTTTTGAAAAGCTTTCATACTATTTTCAAGAAAAGTTTCAAATAATTGATCGAAAAAATGTAACGTGGTGTGACCATCAAAAAGTAAAACCATATTTTTCTGAACACCTTGAATAGATAGATGTCAGTGTGCATGTTAAGTTTTTTTATTTGTACAAAAGTGAACATAGTTTTAAATTAAAAAATATTAGAAATGATTAATGCATTAAAGGAATAGTTCATGCAAAAATGACAATTTGCTAAAAGTTTACTTGTGCTCAGCTCATCAGAGATGTAGATGAGTTTGTTTCTTCATCAGATTTGGAGAAATGTAGCACTACATCACTTGCTCACCAATGGATGCTCTACAGTGAATGGGTGCCGTCAGAATGAGAGACCAAACAGCTGATAAAAACATCACAATAATCCACACCACTCCAGTCCAGCAATAAAAGTCCTTTGAAGCAAAAAGCTGTGTGTTTGTAATAAATTCATTAATAATTCATTCATTACTTGTGGATTATTGTGATGTTTTTATCAGCTGTTTGGACTCTCATTCTGACGGCACCCATTCACTGCAGAGGATCTACAAACATCTGGGGTTAGGGGCTTGTTGGAGACTCTTACTCTAAGTATGAGCAAAGGTAATAGCGAGCAACCACCTTAACAAACACCACTAATGATAACATCTTGTAGCATTGTTCTGTTTTGGGCAATGTTGACCAGTTGTCCAGAGATTCAGCTGTTTATAATCACAGTACATTGTCGACAATATCAGCGCTTGATATCTGTACGAAGATCCAGCTCATTCATGTAGAGCATTTCATGTAACGTCGGCCTATTACTCATGACTGCAGGTCACATCTAATGGCTGCTAATGAAGACACTATTATGCCAAGTATTCATTAAAGAAATAGGACATGGTGTACTCACACGCTATAGGCCTTTTCACAGAATACACAGAAAAGAGCACATATTGCCCACCGCGTAACCATGTCAGTCATTAGTACTCCATTCTTAGACATGGGATCCGTTTCAAAACCTCTTTTATGGTGATGTCCACTGCCTACATATAAGCATCCCATTCAAAACAAAAAGTGGAAAGTTCAAAAATGAGCTAGGCTAAGCTAAGCAAAAAAAATCAATTGTTCAGAAAATTTTGCTAATTATTTTTGAGGTGTATTGTGGAATTGAATTAGTGCACTCGATCATGTTCACTATGGTTTCAGACACCACTACCAAAGGTTGTCCACTTAAAACTTGTAGTGCACTACCTACATATTGGGATATTTCGGACACAGGCTTTTACATGGCAATAGTAGCATTCACTGCCATTCACAAATCCTCTCCTGTGGCCTCACGGGATAGAAAAGTGTCCTTTAGATGCGCACTTCTCATCTTCCCAGAAGTAGTAGGTTATCTGAAGACTTCGGACTACTGTTTTTACATGCTGTTTTTTGCCTATATAGTATATATATATATATATATATATATATCTAAAGCAGCCATTGTGTGCACCACAGCTACTTTGTACCTTTTGCTATTGCCTGTGCACTTTTTATTGTAAGACATGGTGTAAGCAGACAAAAATAATACCATCGACGTAGTTATACACAATACAGCTCTGCTTACGATCTGTTTATTATTCACAGTGTAACACATCACGCTCTGGATGTGGTGCGGAGGATAAGTTTATATCACAGATCTAAATCAACATGTGAATCTTTCCTAATGACATTTTAAAGGGTTCAAATGCACTTTTGATGTCTCAGCCAGGTCCTAAACCAAACACCGATGCCATGTTTATCTGTGCTGAAACAGTGCCTCATGAAATTCACAAGCCGTGAGGGCAACAGGCATGGACACGTGGACCTGTGCGCACAACCTTTGTGAATCAAATTATAGACAGCCGACATGAGGTACTGGAGTCATAGATGTGCTTTATAGCTCATTTATAATAACCTGATCTAAGAAATCTTGAGATGTATTATGAGAATCCAAGCGCTGTTCAAGCCATCTGCAAGAGTAAATTGAATCTGCAGACACAACAAGCTATAGAGCATCTTCAGAGCAGAGCTACAAAAGGTCTTCTACACAAATCCATTAGACAGCCTCTAGGTCTGTAATGTTTTTTTCAAAAATTAAAAAATGCAATTCATGCATACAATGACACCTCTTCTACATTTTTTAAATTCTGAATTCAAAATGAATTTTCCAATTGTTGGGGTGGCATGACGTAAAAAGGATATCAGGATTATACATCTACGCTGTATATGACTGATATTAATGAAGAAAAGGGCACATTAAAATAATAAAATTATTGAAAAGAAAGTCTTATTAAGTAGTTGGACGTTGGATTTTAATTATTAGGGAAAAAAATACATGTGGGGAAAAACATAATAATTAGGTCATTTTAAAACATGCCATGTGCACTTTCCAAAAATGCAATGAAGGATATGAATTAATAATTAATTTTGATCATGTTCATAAACATCAGATTTTATGCATGTATGTACGTATGCAGACTGAAAAAAAATGAATTGGACTCGGCCTTGGTGAAAGACTTTGTGCAGTTTGTGTTGTTAAAACTGCCTTTCCATCCTTTCTGCATATCATTCAAAAAAAGCAGAAATTGAATCACAACTCCATCTGCTGGCTAAAGCTGTGTTTGTGTCGTGGAGCTTTTTATAGAAATTAGACTGTCACATTTCTGTATGAAACCTCATTGCTCCTTTAATAAAATAATATTAAGGTTTTACATTTATGAAATCCTGATTTCAGTAAAACCGATAACGTTTAAAATTGTGAGAAAGTCACACTGTGAGAAATATAGTCGCAATTGTGAGAAATAAAGTTAAATATAAGAAAGTCATATAATTTTGAGAAAATAAAAATATGAGACATCGAAACACTAGTGTAAGATTAAAAATTGCAATTGTTTATTTATTGTACATTTTGTATTGCATTTGGACTGTGTTGCATTTTAATTCTGCCTGTGTTTTAAAACTTATATGATTGTAAATGTTACATGTTTATTTGAACTACAAATTGTAGTGATCTCAGTGTTAGATATCCTCACACGGGGCACCGCTGAGTGTAGTGATTTTAGATCTAAGTAGCACCACAAGTGTAATGGCTTTGGGCTTAGTAATATTAATGTTTAGGTTGGTCACACTATTTTACGGGGCACCAGCCAGGAATTTCACCCTGACAGTAAAGAACAGTCATGGAAGATTGTTGAAAAAATACGAATGACATAAACTGGACGAAGTTGTAGTTTGACCAATCTGAAGGATTTTAGAGAATCGTTAACTTGTAGAGCCTCTTACTGTATTATCAACACAAGGAAGACACAATGTAATAAAAGGGTTTTTATTAACAAAATAATAGACAACAGTAACTAAAATCTACTGAATGGGTGCAATGAATGGATAAAGTGCAAAAGATTGATTGAGTTGGATGTTACTATGGACATTATCTTATGGAAAGATAAACTGAAGTTTCCTGAAAGTAATAAGGTAACCTTATTCTAGATCCAACAAATACATCGAGAGATTATTTGTTATTAACTGACATCAGTTATTTTAAAATCTAATGCAAATAAGATGATCATATACTGACAATACACAGTAATGCCAAGGGTCTCTGGGGAAGAGATTTGGAAAGACTGATAGTTACAGTGGGAAGAAAGGAGTTGGATCCATTTCACGAAGCACTTGTGAACGATGAACTCCTGAGCACTGAGAAGGTCCTTGGTCTGGAAACACGCAAACGGAGGAGCCTTGAAGGTGAAGGTTCTGAAGTCTGTACAGAAGATCTGGACAACCTGGAACACGCAGGAGAAGGATCACTGACGAGACGATTCTGAAGCACTAAGCTTATGGTCGTTGTTGCCGTTGCGGTTTCCAAACTCCTCAAGTTCGCTTCTTGCAGATCTTCCTTGTTTGTCCTTGGAACAATTTAGCCTAGCAGCTTAGCACTGACAGTAGACATGACTGCTTAGCACACTTCTTTGTCTTGAAGAGAACTTTCTTGAGAAGGAGGGATTTGCAAGTTGGCGCCTTTCAGTTCCTGCGTTTTGATTGGCCGGTCCTGTCAGAGGTGGTTATGGTATGGCCCCTCTCTGGCATGAGGTCTATTTTGCATTGCTCAAAGTCCATGTTTAGAACGACGTCTTTAAGGTTTTTCCTATGCATAATTTACTTTCCAAACCAATTCCAGATTATCCTACACATTGTGCTGAAGACCAATCTTCAATGGTTAATGCTGATCATTTACCCATGCATTCATATACACAGTATATACCTTAATGGGTAAAGGATGCCTACATTGTTGTATCACAAACAGCACTCATTAAGTATATACAGTTCTGTAAATGGATTTGAAGAAGGTTTAATCGATATTGTGTCCATTTTGTGTGAATGCGTGTGAAGATGTGTCCTTCCCTTGTAGCTTCACCCACAAGGCAAAACCAGTTTGGTCAGTCTGAGGTAGTCACTTTGGTCTCAAGAATGAAGGACTGTGATCAGTGAAAGGGCACATGTGTCACGGAGTGACTGAGACGTGAGACATGCAGATCCAAGTTCGAAGCTTTATTAACCAACATGGTCAGAAACAGGCAAGGGTCAGACAATGGCAACAGGTATATAGAGGGCAAGACACAAGAATATTCCTAGGGCTAGCGTGCGTCTACGATCGGCGAACAGAATCAACAGGGCGAGACTAGAGGGATAAATCCAGGTACAAGGCAAAGGTCCAGGCAGGGGCAAACAGTATCCGAATAGGGCAAGACGAGAGGGGGAATCCGAGATACACAGGCAAAGATCAGGACACGAAAAAACAGACAAGGCAAGACTAAGATAAGGCTATGAAAAACTAGACAGGCTCCTTAGAGTCGCTATCGCTTTGAGAGTGATAAACGCTATATAATACTCAGCAGTTTGAAAGGGATCAGAGTGAGTGTTATATAGTGAATGTGTGATTGGTTACAGCTGTGTGCAATCAGTGCTGTGTGCAATCAGTGCAATGGATGATGGGATATGTAGTCCGGGATGACATGCAACAGTTTGTGTAGTGCAAGAGTCAATATAATGGAAGGGTGACCTCTGGTGGTGAGTGAATTGAAGTTCATAGACCGGATTTGTGACAACATGGTGATTGGATCAGTCTTTGATCAATGGAATGCTTAAGTCCTGCCTTCCACAAATGATAAGCCTGAGGGAGAACAGAGCAGTTCCTTCCTGGGGGTTACTGTATTTTAATGTTAACACCCCCCTATCTCGACATGAGGTAGTGTTGTTTTATCTGACAGCAAAAGCATCCTTTGTTGTCCACAAAGCCTGATCTCATCCAAATGGCATGTATGACTACAGCTGGCCCCGTTCTGGTCTTATGCAAAACCAGACAAGTTTCAGCACTGGTTGCATACGTCAGCCTGAACAAAACCTTAACCAAGCCACTTTACACACCCTTGGCCCGCATGAAAAATGTCTCAACAATGACAGCATTCTGAACAAATATTTATTAATGTTTCACATCAACACATTGACACATGACATTTAATTATTTTTTTTAAATCTCTCTTCCTCTTCTCTCTTCCACTCCCTTCCACTATCAGCTCTGCAAATAAGAATTTTCCAAATTATACAATTATTTATAAATATATTTTAATATAATCAAATGATAATCAAATGTCAATGACAAGAAGCTATTTTTAGCTAAGCTGATTTGGAATTAAAGGTATGTGATGATAATGAAATTCATTCAGTATTACTGACCATGCGTATATGAAGCCCTAAAAGGCAATAGCATCATTATTTACCTCAATTCAGTTCAGTGTGTTATATATGCAGTTCTACAGAAGGCAGCAATGTCATCCGATGGTCTCAGTGCAGTTTCATTTATACATTTCTGAAAGATAAGTGTCTTTCAGACCCCAAATAAGTAAGCAAAGGTGACAGTGGCAAGGAACTCAAACTCTATCAGGTGGCAGAATAGAGAAAAAACCTTGGGAGAAACCAGGCTCAGGGACCAGTTCTCCTCTGGCCCAAGCAAACAAACACAATGTGGTATTGATTAGGATACATTACACTGGCGTTAGGTAGGAAAAGGAGATGCAGCAGGTTGAAATATGAAGGTAGAGCTGCCGTTCAGCCGGTAGTAGACAACTAATTTATCAGTGGCCTTAAGCATGATGAATGACCTTCTTGATAAAACTGTGCAACGGTCCTAGCTGGTCCTGGCATGACTCGTTCATAGCTGGCTGTTGGGATCTGTGCCGAGAGCTCTTCTAGTTGCTGAGGTCTTCGCTGAGGACCAGGATGACAGGATGGGTCTTTGCTGAAGATCTGTCCTGAGGGCTTGTCTCATCGAGGTTTTTTCTGGCCATGGAGGGCTGTGTTGTGGTCATTCCTGGGTGCAGGTCCGCCATCTGCTCTGGACACTGACTGGATCCAGCTGACTATGGTAACCTCAGGATAAGAATGAGACAGACAGACTAATATAAGAGTAGATGCCATTCCACTCACAATGTAATAAGTACATCGGGTGTTATGGGAAGTGCTCCCAGTTCCGGCTGACCTAATCAATGCAACCTAACAATTCTTTGAAGAATTTGAATTATAGAAATGTTATGTGTGAGCCAAGTTAAAGAGATGGGTCTTTAATCTAGATTTAAAGTGTGTGAGATAAAGCGTTTTCTACGTTGTTTACGCTTTGATTTGAACGAAAACAACGTATCCGTGTGACGCAGCTGACACAGAATAGCATACGCTGTTTGCGTTCAGTGGATACGCTCCAAAATGGCACCAGGGTGAGACGCGGAGGAGACGAATTGTTGAATAAAGTCGTTATTTTTGTTTTCTTTGAGTACAAAAAGTATTCTCGTAGCTTTGTAAAATGATGGTTGAACACCTGATGTCACATGGATTATTTTACCGATCTCCTTGCAACGTTTCTGGACCTTGATCGTGGTAATTACTATGGAGCCAGATCAGCCTCAAAAATAATACATTTACAAAACAAAATTCATAAATGCACAGCACAATTTACATTTACAAAATCCGATTCATAAATTCAAAACACAATTCATAAATACGCAAGTAAAAGCATAAATATTTCCCCAAATGCTCACACAAATGCAACTTACCTAAATAAATTGTAAATGTTTTCACAAATATGTATATATCAAGTTCTTGAATTAATTTCAATCACACATTTATGAATGATGTTACATGTATTTATGGATCGTTGAATCTGCATTTGCAAATCGTCACATGTGCGTGGACTGCTTGGAATTTGTGTGCGGTATTTTTGAGACCTTCCTGACAGGTTAAGATTCATAAATATCTTTTTTTGTAGGATGTTCCGTTCAGCCAATCGCGGTGAGCTTTTAATCCATCAATCAAAATGCTTCTTACTGAACAGACTCAAGAAGCTCAAGCTGCGCTTGAACTGTGCATTGTTCCATGAGAATAATCATGGCTGATAGAAAGATAGACATGCAAACAAAAAAGAAAACCAAACTGGACGCAAGAACAGCTGTTACTTCTTGCCCAATTTGTTAATGAAAACAAACATATAATCAAAGGAAAATCTGAAGTTGGGATAACCTCCAAAACCAAAGGCGATACCTTTTTAAAAGCGCATTATAGTCAAATGTTTCTAAAATTTTTACGTTCTGAGGCAGATTGCCGGCAACAGCCATTTTAGGATAGATTGTGGTTTGATCTTAGTGACTTAGGAGTCCTCTTCACTACTCCTAACTTTTCACAGATTTAGGAGCTAGTTTTAGAGTTAAAACGCTCTGTGAAATACTCTTAGAGCAAAAATTTAGGAGTTCTAAATTTAGGATTGACACGCCCATTATTTTTAAGATTTTCTCCTAAATCTGTGAGTTATGAGCTACTTTTAGCCTTAAGATGTTTAGTGAATACAGCACAAAAGCTGCCTCTTATATACGCGAACACTGGACTGAGCTCTCTTTCTCGCATTCTTACACATTTGAAAGGACAAATACACACAGAATTATATGAAAATATCCCATAAATACAATCGGTTATGTCTTAAAGGGGTCATATGATGTTGCTAAAAAGAACATTATTTTGTGTATTTGGTGTAATGAAATGTGTTTATGCAGTTTAAGGTTAAAAAAACACAATTTCAACATATAGTACATTAATGTTTCTTCTCTATGCCCCGCCTTTCTGAAACGCGAATCAATTTTTACAAAGCTCATCGGTCTGAAAAGCGAGGTGTGCTCTGATTGGCCAGCTATCCAGTGCGTTGTGATTGGCTGAATACCTCAAGCGTGTGACGGAAATGTTACGCCCCTAACATACTGTGATGCTGTGTCCCGGTGCGACGAGACAAAAACATGAAAACCCATTATAAACGAGGCATTCATTGCATCCAGTGGGGACATAATTATGGATTATAATGACTTATACTGTCTTTTTACGCGTTGCGTTGCATCGCGCCACGTAAACATAAAACCATGTCTGCATTTGTGATCGGAGAAATGACAAACAACAAGCCCTACTCTACACTGCCCAAAAAACTCGCTTTAAATATAAAAAATGTACTTACAGTCTGTGAGTCAGAACAGCCGGCATTGTAGTCTACTCTACCAGGATCAGGAAACGGTCCTCCATAAAATGTGCTGCACACATCTGAATATTTGGGTTGAATGTTCTGGAACAGTGTTGTAAATACAACTTAACAACTGATTTCTAGTCGTGTCCATTTTTGGAAGGCCAAACAAAGTAGTTTCGCTTTCACAACGAAACACAGCATCACACACAGCGGTCTAGAGTGAGCAGAGGCTAGAGTGAGGAACAGCCGGGGGCGGCCTAGAGTGAGCGTAGGCCGGCTTGAGTGAGCAGAGGCGGCGGGCTTGAGAACTGCGCGGCCGGCGGATTCGACGAAGGAGCGTCTGGAGGGCTTGCGGCAACCACATGTGACGACCCCGGGCTGGACTCCGCTTCGTCCACGGTGAAAGCCGATCTGGTGATCCACAGCGCAAAGTTGTAGTATTTCTTCAGCAACCAGCACGGATCAGCTCCAGGCATGACGAAGCTGATATCGTCCTCTTTTGGAAGACCAAAGAAAGTAGTTTCGCTTTCACGACGAAACACACAGCACTTTCACGACATGGCGGTGGCAACAACAATATGAGTAGGGGGCATGTTAGAACGAGCCATTTTAGGTAGGCGTGGCTGACACTTAACTTTTATAAAGAATATCTCTTTGGATTTGAGACTTTAGTCTTTGCAACTTTACAGATCTTCTTTATGCACCAAGAGCTTGAGATTTTGTAAACCGTGTATACAATATAATTATGTTTAATTAAGCTGAGATATAGCACTATACATTCTTAATTCATTTGCAACAAAACTATAAAGTTTTGTTACAAAAGGATGAAGACATTATAGTAGGCTTCTCAGCTCGCCCCTCAACATGCATGCGTTTGGAGTTTCGGCAGCCCAACACTGAATATTATATTGTGGGTGTTGTATTTTGATTAATAAAATACAAATAATAAAAATTACATTTAAATTACCCTTCTAATTAAATAAAGCAGTTATTTTTATTTCGTTAAAAATGGGCCGAAAGAGACCTCCGAACTAGTAGGCCACCAGAAAGGAAAAAAATAAACTTCAATGTTTTTACTCAGAATAAATTTTTAATCCCTGCATGATTTTAGTCATACATGATAAATATCAAATACGTTATAGCTTGACTACAAGTTTAAAAACAATGCTGCAATTGTTATAATTAAGGAAATTAAACTCACCATCATGAAATGTGTCTACACAGGCGGTAATGCCAAAAAGAAAGAGAAACGTCGGAATATACGCATATTTTATTCAAGACATTATTATGTGACATCAACATGCATTTATCATTCATGATGAACTTACAATTGGGTTCTATTATTTTTCCTGAACAGTTCTCCTCACAAAACGGAATTCATTTCAAACACAAATTTGATAAGAACAGAGTGGAAATTATTAGCAACACCAAAATAACAGCAAAGCTAATGTTTTCTGTTAGTTTAAGCACAAATGAAGAAAAGTAAAACCAAACTTTGTGGCAATAATTAAGACCAAACTGAACATGTTTATGGTGCATGTCGGCAATGTTGTCTCGGCGGGGGCGTGGCGTAGGTGGGGCTTAGGTAGACGATATTATCGGATATCACAATATTTTTAAAGGCGATTATCGATAAGAGTTTTTTGACATATCGCCCAGCCCTAAACGATATAAATCATAATGTGATTTTGTAGAAATTGTAATGCAGTTGCTAAAAAAAAAAAAAAGAGTACCCATTAAAATGTCTTTACATCAAGGACCCGATCATGGAACAATACACAGTACAAGTGCAGCGTTGAGCTTCTTGAGTCTGTTCAGTAAGAAGCATTTTGATTGATGGATTAAAAGCTCACCGCGATTGGCTGAACGGAACATCCTACAAAAAAAGATATTTATGAATCTTAACCTGTCAGGAAGGTCTCAAAAATACCGCACACAAATTCCAAGCAGTCCACGCACATGTGACGATTTGCAAATGCAGATTCAATGATCCATAAATACATGTAACATCATTCATAAATGTGTGATTGAAATTAATTCAAGAACTTAAATTCAAGAAATTAAATTAAATTTATTTAGGTAAGATAAATTTGATAAGATAAATGTGTGAGCATTTGGGGAAATATTTATGCTTTTACTTGTGTATTTATGAATTTTATTTTAAATTTACGAATAAGATTTTGTAAATGTAAATTGTGCTGTGCATTTTATGAAATTTGTTTTGTAAATGTATTATTTTTGAGGCTTATCTGGCTCCATAAATGACATGACTGTCTATGGGAGGGTCAGAGAGCTCTCAGAATTCATCAAAAAATACCTTAATTTGTGTTCTGAAGATGAACGGAGGTCTTACGGGTTTAGAACGACATGAGGGTGAGTAATTAATGACAGAATTTTCATTTTTGGGTAAACTAACCCATATAAGTGCTGAATCCATTCCTTTTTTTGTGTGTGAGTTTGACTTCCCAGATATCACAGGTATATCTCTAAGATGTCTGCTAAATTGCGCTTGATTTTTACACATCTGCTGTTTAAAAACATTTGATAAACATCTTAGAAAAAGCAGTTTTATACACATTCTAAATTATAAACATCTTAAAGACATTTTATAAATATCTATTTAACAACTGATAGGAAACATCTTATAGACATATTGCAGATGAGCAAACACTATCACGGAGACGTAAAATACAAAATGTATTTTTTAGAGTGTTTCCTCATCTGCAATACGTCTATAGGGCGATTCCTATCAGATGACAAATTTAAATCTCTTTCAGATGTTTATGATTTATAATGTATGTAAAACTGACATCTTATCAGATGTTTGTACACAGCAGATGCTTTCCAGATGAAGCCATCTTTACATCTTGCATCTAACCTCTGCAGACATGCCTGTGCTATCTGGATTGTCTGTACGCTCCCCTAAACATTGATCTACAAACTTGTGTTCCTGTAGGATTCTCATAGTAATATTCAGAATGTAAACAAGAGCTTAGACACATTTTTTCAGAATTTCTGTCATTTTCTTTCCAGACAACCCCTTCTCATTATCTGTCTTAGACCTGCTTTATTTCCCAGCTTTATTGCCCAAAAGCTCTTCCTCTTATCTTCAGTTACCTGAAGACCCTCAGATGTCATCATAATGTCATCATCATAACTCAACCACCATTGGTCACTTAACCTCTGTATTTCTGAGGGGTCATTCCCTCTCCTGCTGGTGACCCAGAGAGTGTTTACCTTGGTGCTGTTTATTGCCACAGATCTTCACATTCTCTTGGAGAAGTATCTGGATGATGGAGATATTCTGCATATGAAAAAAAGTGATTGAGAATTTATAATCCTTTAATGCAGAGCAATATGAATTGCATTATTATTATTATTATATGTGACGAGAAATTAGTAATTTTAATAAGTAAGTTATCATAATATCTTGCATTTAAGATTAAAATTTACATTATAGCATAATATTATTAATAATATTAACAAATTCAGTAATAATAACCTGTACAATATAATGCAATGAAACACAATGATGACTGAGAGGTATAACACTAAACTTTTTATTTATTTTTTTCAAAATAATTGTATCTGGGCATTAGATGTCGTTTTTCATCTGAAAATGTGTTTGTATCCGTTTTCTTATTAACGTAATTATATTTGGGGGATTCATTTCACGTCGCTATTTGAAATTGTTCTCATAAAAATATAATTTGTTTTGCTTAGTTGATTTAAAATGATTATTTGCAGCAAACTGTTGTGCGTTTCATTTTCCAACCTTACAGGACAGACCCTATAGTCCTGACTCCAGTGTTTCCCTTGGGGAAAACTGACAGCCTCACTAAAATTTTCCAGGTGGCCAAGGTGCGCTCTTGGTCCATTGCTAGCCGCCCAGCACAGAGTGCTACAGCAGAGCTTCCCTGGCCTGTAAAGGCAGCCGTTCCCTAAATTTACAGGCGGTTACAGGTTTCCTAGATGCAGAATATAACAGACAGCATTATGGGCACATAGCTGGTTTGTCCCGCCCCGGGTTCTGCACCAGAGCTAGGAACCAATCCAATTTTAAGGCCAATTTTCCACAGATTTCTTTATTTTATAATTGTATCTGGATATTAATTATTAGTTTCTTTACAAAAAATAAATAAATAATTTTTTTTGTCAACCTAGGGCGCACCCTGTGTCCCATCCACCACGACCTTACAAGACACACCCTAGTCCTAACTCCAAGTGATTCCCTTGGGGTGAACTGAGAGCCTCTCCCAAATTTTCCAGGTGGCCAAGGTGTGCAATGCGCTGAATTGTGCTCTTGGTCCATAGCCATCCAGCACAGAGTGCTACGGCATAGCTTCCCTGACCTGTAAGGGCGGCCTCTCCCTAATTGTACAGGCGGTTACAGGTTTCCTGGATGCAGAGTATAACAGACTGCATTATGGGCACATAGCTGGTTTGTCCCGCCCAGAGTTCTGCACCGGAGCTAGGAACCAATCACAAATAAAGGTGAATTTGCCACAGATTTATTTTTCTTATATAATTTTATCTGGATATTAATTTTTATTTTCGGTCACACTTTAGTTTAAGGTCCAGTTCTCGCTATAAACAAACCATTAACTACAACTTTTTCCTCAATAAAATCCTTATTTGCTGCCTATTGATAGTAAGGTAGTTGTTAAGTTTAGGTATTGGGCAGGATTAGGGATGTAGAATATGGTCATGCAGAATATGTGCTTTATAAGTACTAATAATCAGCCAATATGTTAATGATAGGCATGCTAATAAGCAACTAGATAACACTGAGAATTGGTCCCTATTCTAAAGTGTTACCTTAGTTTCTTTACCACATATTTGTTTTTTGCTTTTTGGCAACCTAGGGCGCGCCCTGTGTCCCATCCACCACGACCCTACAGGACACACCCTAGTCCTGACTCCAAGTGCTTCCCTTGGGGTGAACCAACAGCCTCGCCCAAATTTTCCAGGTGCCATTTTGCGCTCTTTATCCATTGCTAGCCATCCAGCACAGAGTGCAATGGCAGAGCTTTCCTGGCCTGTAAGGGTGGCCTCTTCCTAATTGTACAAATCTTACCTTTTGGCGACTCTTTTGTCATCTGTCGTGGTCTCTTTTATTATGAAGATAATAACTTACCTGCAGAAGTCTTGACTTGATATTGTAGAGATGTTGTTTCACACGCTGATGTGTGTGTATATCTGTGTGTGTGTATATACAGGTGCATCTCAATAAATTAGAATGTCGTGGAAAAGTTCATTTATTTCAGTAATTCAACTCAAATTGTGAAACTCGTGTATTAAATAAATTCAATGCACACAGACTGAAGTAGTTTAAGTCTTTGGTTCTTTTAATTGTGATGATTTTTGGCTCACATTTAACAAAAACCCACCAATTCACTATCTCAACAAATTAGAATACTTCATAAGACCAATAAAAAAACATTTTTAGTGAATTGTTGGCCTTCTGGAAAGTATGTTCATTTACTGTACATGTACTCAATACTTGGTAGGGGCTCCTTTTGCTTTAATTACTGCCTCAATTCGGCGTGGCATGGAGGTGGTCAGTTTGTGGCACTGCTGAGGTGGTATGGAAGCCCAGGTTTCTTTGACAGTGGCCTTCAGCTCATATGCATTTTTTGGTCTCTTGTTTCTCATTTTCCTCAGTTTCTCAGATTCTCTATGGGGTTCAGGTCTGGTGAGTTTGCAGTCAAGCACACCAACACCATGGTCATTTAACCAACTTTTGGTGCTTTTGGCAGAGTGGGTTTCCACGACATTCTAATTTATTGAGATGCACCTGTATGTGTGTGTATAAATGCAAATGTGATTTAAAAGTTTAAGAATTCACAAATCTTACCTGTAGGCGACTCTTTTCATCTGTTGTTGTCTCTACTTTCTGAAGATAATCACATACCTGCAGTACTCTTGACTTGATATAATTATAATTAATGTCATTTGTTTCACACGCTGATGATGTGCCAGCTAGGTCACAGAGGTCTGTACTGATGTAACATTTTCATATTTAAAAAATAAAATGTCAAATTTCTCTGAATGACTAATTTAGGAATCTTTAAGATTACAACAGAACAGCAATGCATTTTATGGACAACCGTTTCTGAACCTAGGAGAGGAGGTATTTCTGACTTTGCTATGACGATCTGGCGCTTCTGAATCAGCTACTGTTTTGTTATTAGTTTAAGTATTTGCTATTGACTGTTCAAATGCGGAGTTTTGCGCATCGTGTGTGTGTGTGTGTGTGTGTGCGAGAGAGAGCGCACGCGAGAGAGAGACAGAGAGGGTCACATCACAGTGGAGTCAGCTGTCTTAACCGTGGCTTGTGTACTGCACACATACCAGCTTCATCACTGTGTCTGTCACGAGACTCTGTTCCCCTTTCGGGCTTGAACTGATGGTAAAACTAATGACATTATTCTTTACATTTATTTTGAAAGATGAAGCTCGCGATTATGGTAAGGGGCGTTACATTTCCGACGAGTGCTTGTGGTGTTCGGCCAATCACAATGCACTGGGTCAGCTGGCCAATCAGAGCAGACTGCGCTTGTCGGGAGGAGGGACTTTGTAGAAAACGAAGCGTTTGAGAGAGGCGGGGCATAGAGGACCTACAATAATGTACAGTATTTGAAAATAATGTGTTTTTTGAACATTAAAGCATGTCAACATATTCTGTTACACCAAATACACAAAATAATGATCTTTTAAAAAGCATCATATGACCCCTTTAATTAAACACTGGCACATTTCAGAATTTGGCGTGATGTGTGAAATCAAGGATTTTAGAAGCAAGGACAAAGGGTTAATTTTCAAAGTTTGTTTTAGATGTTACAGAAGCAGGGCTCTGTGTGTGGAATTTGGGAAGTGGCCCCGGGTCCCACAAATCAATTTATGGTACAAATTGGCGTGCTTGCCTCAAAGATGTAAAAAAGTATTGCATTACTGTATGAATCCGCCTGTGGGGTCCACACATAAAGCTTTTTGTCGCTGTGAATTTACTAGTGTTGCGTAAAAAAGTTGCGTTATTAATCTGAATGCGGGATGACGTGAAATTGAGGCTGATAGAAGTGTGTCAGACCAGTGTTATTTTAGTATCATGGACATACTATTTTAGTTTTTATTATATTTTGTTTATTTTTTAAATATTTTTATATTTAAATTTTAGTTAGTTTTAGTAATTTTGTTGTTTTTGCAATTATTATTATTATTATTATTTGGTTATTTTAGTGCATCAAGTTAAACTAAAAGAAAATGAGAAATTATATCTTCATCTAGTTGAAATAATTATTTTAATATTTTCTATATTTGAATTTTTTTTTCTATATTTTTCTGTTTTCTATTATCTCTGTTAACGTTTATTTTATTTCAAGTAACACATTTTTTTATTTTTATTTTTTGTACGGTTTGGTTTTAAAGGAATAGTTCACCCAAAAATGAAAATTATGTCATGATTTACTCACACTCAGGTTGTTCCAAACTTGTATGAATTTCTTCAAATTCTTAATTGCTTCTATTGAGATTTTTAAGAATTTTGATAACCAAACAATTAATGGTAGCCATTGACTTCCATAGTATTTTTTCTGTACTATGGAAGTCAATGGCTACCGTCAACTCATACAGGTTTGTAACAACTTGTTGAGGGCGAGTAAACCATGACAGAATTTTCATTTTTGGGTGAAGCATCCTTTTAGTTTTAGTGAATGATAATAACCCTGTTTCAGCCCTTAATTCTTGCTTGTGGTGTCTCCTGCAGAACATATTTGAGGATGGAGGATATGGAGGTGGAAGTAGCTCCAGTATCCAGTGAGGCCAGTGTGATTGTGGTCTCTGAATCTGAAAGCAGCACAGAAGAAGAGGATGTTCACATGCAGGTTCAAAGCCTGTCTGATCGACCCAGACTATCAGGCTTTCGGGTGGTCAGGAGGAGACATATAATTGGGTAAGAGAACGCAACAGCTGGACCATCAAACTGCAGCTTATTTCCCCAAGTATGGTTTCAGGAATTTCTTTAGAATTGCCTAAATTGATCTGAGTTAATGCTTATAAAAGTAAACAACAACAGGTTCACTTACTTTTTCCTGCAACAACAGTATGGAGTCGTTGTATGACTTGATCTTTCTGATTTCCTTCCTCTCTTCAAGTTCACGGACGCAGTTCTCCCCGCGTGAAGAGAGAATCCGCAGACTCCGGGAGTTCATCGTAGAGAATCTTGCAGAGCGACTGATTGGCTCCCAGGACGCACAGCATTCAGTTCCTCATGCAAATCCACAAGCGCTGGCTCCTGAACCCAGGTCCACACTCACCGCTGCTGTTGTGAATGAATCCAGCGCTACAGGTCCACTGCCATTTCAGTTCTCATTTCATCCCATTTTAGCCCTGACGTCTATTTTCCCAGGTATCTTTTAAATGATGAAACTACATGACAGTTTACTATTAGAATTGCTAGTATCATTTTTGATATTAGAAGTATTTCACATAATCTTACATTTATAACATAGGAGATGCACAATATATCATTAACATCAATTGTAGTAATATTTTTAAATTTACCATAATAATCGATATTGGATATAAATTGGCTGAAATTCAATATTTGAGTCAGTTTTTTACATTTAAATTACCTTTGCTCAAACTCAAATTAGTTATTTTTAAAAGCACCAATAATTTTATAACCCTTTTAAGTTGAATCTTTAGCAAATTTCAAACTGAATATACATGTTCGTGCATTATGATATGATGTCTAAAATGCTACATTTTTGGTTTTATTATTTTAATTTGTCTAAATAAATTCTAATATCATCTAATATTAAAATAAATTCTAATATCTAATACTATTGTAACGAATCAGCTCATGGGAAATATGAATAATTAACCATAACTAGTTATAATTAATTATGAATATTTTAGATCCGCTGTAGATATTTAGCTGACCTCTCAGGGTCAACTGTGTCAATTCTAAGAACGTAAATTTTTTGGTTAAGGGAAATAACTTCCTTACTGTACAATTCTACAAAAGCTTGTAGCATAAATCTGCATGATTAAGTGACTCCAGATATGAGCAAACAATGAACCACGTCAAGTGTGATACAAGTAAGGTTTTATTAACCACATAAACACTTAAACTAGTCTAACATACTACATAAACACATAAACTGGTCTAACATACACATACACACACACACACACACAAACAGTTTGTATAGGGAAGGGTTAAAAGCTTAACGCAGTAAAGAGAAAGGAAATAAGGACTATGAAGTTATAGAACCATTTGCATATTCAGCAGATCTACACCTGAGGGAAACGTCAGATTCTTAGTTCAAACACACCTTTGTAAAAAAGTGCAAATGATACCTCATGTATCAATTAATAAGGCTAAGTTTGATACTTGCATGTCTC